GAGCGTCCTTTCGGCTTTGGCCCAGTCGCTTTATTCTTTCTGGCGCTACTAGTACTAGCCCTCTGCTCTTCCCCAGTAGCATATTGGACACCTTCCGACCTGAGGGGCTCATCTTCCAGCGTCATATCTTTTTGCCTTTTAGTACTGTCCATGGGGTTTTCATGGCAAAGATACTGGAGTGGTTTGCCATTTCCTTCTCCAGTGGATCACATTTTGTCAGAATTCTCTGCTATAACCTGTCCATCTTGGGTGGCCCTGCACGGCATAGCTTATAGCTTCATTGAGTTACGCAAGCCCCTTCACCACAACCAGGCAGTAATCCATAAAGGGGACAGCAGAAATACTTAATGCAAATGTTTGGAAAATTAAAAAAAAAATGGAAGGAAATGGAAATAGTAGGACATTTAGAAGAGCAAACATGTGCTTATATGAAAATAAACCAGATAAGCTAGATGAGTAATATATTTCTGTGTTCTCATGATTCTGGCTCACTTAAAGTATGTCTAGAATTAAAGGTGCTGACACAAGGACTAGGAAAGTGAGAAATTGAAATAGGGTCAAATACCCCATTTGCTTTTATAGCTAAACTATCATGGTTCTTACGCATAATTTTATATAAATTTATCTTGAATACATTCAGAGATGGTTAGTGTGTTTTTCCAGCCTCTTCCTTTAATCTTACTGCATTTCATTTCTGCTTAAATTGTATTGTATTTACCATTACAACTCTTTGAAAAGTCTCTGAATGGTTCTGACCTTTCCGAAGAAGAAAACCTCACCTTTCTTAACGTTTTCTAAAACAGTCAGTTGACAACCTTGAATAATTCATGCCTGATTTTTTAATTACAGCAACTTCCTTTCCCTCCCTACTCTCATTAGAAAACATATATTGTCATCTAGGGAGGGGAGAACCTGTCTGACCAAATTTAAAGCTATTGAAGGAAATTTTTTAAGATTTAAAGACAAATAAAAGTGATGATAGAAACAGAAACAGGAGTTGCTGCCGAGCCCACACCTAAATTTCATCATCTTGGGACTTCTTCGAGCTCGTTAACATAAAACAGACAATGTTTTGCAAACAATTAAGTGTGCATGTCCACAACAATATCATGTAAAGCCATTCTTGAATTTGTGATTTTGAGACTGAGTCAGAATTTAGGCCAGTTTGTTACTAAGGTTTGTCTACTTCTTATCAACTTAGGAAATCATAAAAGAAACGGGGATTGTTAGGCATGCACTATCCATATGTGGCACTTGGTGCAAATTAACTTATATAACTATATTTTAACCTTTTCTAATTTGACACACTAACAGTTGAATTGTTTGTAAAAAAAAAAAACACCACCAATTCATTCTAGAGAGTTCTGAGAAGGCAAAGGCCACTATATAACATGTGTTAAGATAAGTAACTTTATATCAACAAGAAATAAACAGAGCTGGTAACACTGTTGTATAGAAATTCTAATTGAATGCATAGAATATGCAATTATATAATTGTACTTTTTATGCCTGCTAGAGGAAACGGTATATAATTTAACTCTGATCCTGATATTTCTTTCAAATACCTTTATTCTTAAGGGAGTAGAAAAGCTTGGATTTAATTGTTGCATGGCAACATTCAAAATTTTCTGCTGGAGGTGTTGTTTTTTGGGAGTGTAAGGAGAAGGAATATCTCCATTTATTTATTTATTTTAAAAGCTATCCATCCCAGTATTACATCTGTTAGCCAATTCCAATAAGCAGACAAAGAAGATGTAGGAGTTGACCAGGCTGAGTCTGAGGGAGGGGTCAAGCACATTATCAATTTCGAGTCCCTTCGCACCCACAAGAGATCTATGTCCAGCCCACTTTGAACTCTCCATTCTACCACACTTAGATAGATAGATAGATAGATAGATAGATAGATAGATAGATAGATAGATAGATAGATAGATAGATAGATTTTGTCAGTGCTGATGCTCTACAAATGGTGTTGCGGATGTTCTGGGATTGTACCCTCAGCACCTATTACTATTGTTTCTATCTTTGCTTTTTTATTATTATTTATTTTTTACCAATGTTGCAGGTCTTTGTATTTGTGATTTCCTTCAGTTCTTTGTCTTATCTTCTCCTGTATTCAAGTATTGCAATAGTCAACTTTTTATCTTTCTTCTCAATATTTTTTTTTGTCTTTCTTCTCAACAATTGTTATTTCTGGGTGTTGTAGCAGGTGCTTGCCTCTTTAAATTCTAAAGCCCCAGAGCACTTTGGCTTCTTTCTTTTTCATTAACTTTGTCTATTTTGTGGTGTGGCCAATTCTTACTTGAAGGCAAATGGCATCTCTTGCAGATCTTCTAATGTACCATTGTTGTTACTTTATCATGCTGTTGTTTATAGTCAGTTTGTACGATCATTGTCTGCCAATTTTTTTTTTAATGTACTGGCCCTGCCTTAGGAATATTCTTCCACTGGAAGTAAGATCTGCCCCATATTCCTGGCTCTGCTTCCTGGCCTGGGGCCATCGATAGGGGCCTGTTACATTGGAGATGGCTGACAGAATAGAAAGATTCCCATCCACAGGTCACTCATTGTCTTGGTTTTTATTTCTAATGTTTCTGTCTAACTCTCTTAATTGTCTTGTGTTATCTTTTTTTTTACTTTTTTATTATATTGTAAGCTGCCCAAAGTTATTGTATCAGTGATGGGTAGCATAACGATTTAATAAATGAATAAATGTTACAGCAACTGTTTCTTCAGTTTCTGTGCAGAACTGGTATTCACTGTCTGATTTTGTCTTCTCAATTCTGACTTCTTATGCATTTGTTCTTAAAGCTGTGTGCAGCCAGAATTAGTATCTCTGACTCTTTCTCCAACTTCCTTACTTGTAGCCATTTCCAGGTCTTGGTGTTATTTAACAGAATAACAGAGTTGGAAAGGATCTTGGAGGTCTTCTAATCCAACCCCCTGCTTTTCTACTTTGTCTGCCATTTTTTTATATACTGACCATCATTATTTTTATTAGTTAAAGGGGATTCAAACACTATCACACTATTAAAGATGAAATGTGATTGAGAGAATTAGTGGAAATTTTAAATAGAAATAGAATAGATATGTGATGAATCAGAATTGCAAAGCTTAAAGCTGTAGAACTGTATTCTTCACAGTCTTAGATCATAAGACCAGTGCTTTTTTTGTAAAAAAAAAAAAAAAAAAAGGTGCCAGAACTCATACATGTCATACAACCCACCTTGCCTACCCTACAAAGTTCCATCCAAAAAAGGTGCCGGAACTCCGTTCTGGGCGTTCTATGACAAAAAAAGCCCTGCATAAGACTGTAATTTTTAATCTGATCAAAAGGAATATTATTACCTATATGATGAGAACATGATTAAATATGCAGATACAGCCAATTGTTTAATTATTTATTAGAATATATTAGGTCATACATTAAAAGCAAAATGTCTGCTTTGTTGACTACAGAGTGACTCCCATTTACTTTTTTCCGTTTCAAATTATTTCATGGCATATTTGGATTCTTTGGAGAAAAGTGAAGAGGTACAAATACTTTTGGCTGCATCTCTGTCTCTGTCTCTCTGGTTATAGTAATGATATTAAATTATAAAAGAAATAAAATAAAAAATGCTTTTTTTCTTAGCTTCACCCACTATCTTTCAGAGGATGATCCCTGCCACTCCCCTCAAAATGCTGAACACAGCCCCTAATCCAGAAAAAAGTTCTGCACCTCTACAATAAAGGAATATATTAACTAAACACTGAAGTTGAGGAGCAGGAAGAGTAAGGAAAGATGGATAGTTCTAACACAGAGTGGAACATCAGTCCCCTGGGGCTGCAGTGCACTGGGAGAACTCTCTTGGGGTTTGCCTGCAATAAATGGATCAACCCATTATCTCTGTCACTTTATCACATACCAACATGTTCCTTTTGAAGCATGTATATACATACATACATACATACCTCTTTTTATTCTCTTTTCTTTCTATTTCATCCCCATTGCTTCTCCTCTTCCCTTTTTTCTTTTCCCCCAGAGTGAGATGTACAGATAATCCCAGATATGTTTCAGAAAATGAACTGATAAACATTTGTTAGCTAAAGTAGTTTGATCTCTCATATTTTATGTACACAATGTAAATATCTTGCCCACCCAGGAATAAATGATAGAAAAGGTTTGTTTGTTGGGGAAGATCAAAGTGAAATGAAATTATGAATGAGCCAACTCAAACGTCACAGCTACCTGGGGCAAGAATGACGTCACCATAATCAGATTAGTGCTCCATAAATTATATCTCCTGTGGATTACAAGGCCTTAAAAATGTTCACAAGCCAATTTTTAATTCTTCAAAGCCATTAGCCATGCCTACTGATTTTATACAGGGTTCAAATGAGAAGTTCTATTGATCTTTATAAAGTTACAGGCTTCCATCTTTTTTGCATTTCTTAGAATTGTATTTTCCAGGGGAAAAACAACTAATTGCTTTCCTCTTAAAAATCCTGTGTCACATGATGATAAGACACAACAGGTAGTCCTTGGCTTAAACCATCAATGAACAAAAAAAATTTGTTGGTAAGTGAGACTGCTGGCAACTAAATTTTGTCCCATTTGACGACCTTTCTTACCACAGTTTTTAAATGAATAAGTGCAGTTGTTAAGTTAATAACACAGCTGTTAAGCAAATTTGGCTTTCTATTGACCTGTATGTGATACAATAAGGGGTATTGTATATTCCTGGATTCTGATGATACTTCAATCATTTATAATTGGCTGTTTTTTCCTGTCATTCCACTGTCCTGATGAAATATAGCTGTTCTAATTATTTTCACATTATTAGGATATCAGAATGCAAGTATGCATGTCTATGAATCTACAGAATGTATTGAGTACGAATTATCCATCTTGACTAAGTATCATGTAACTAGAGATTCCAGAACTTTAGTATCATACCAGACACACTATAAGGACCTGCCCCAGCTGGTCCCTCAGGAAAGTAAAACTCTTGACTCCATTGAGGTTAATCAAAAGAATTTTACTGAAAGAAAGTGGATGTAGAAGTCAGGTAGAATCTGAAGGTCCCTTGCAAAGCACAAAGCAATTCTTTCACTTCCCCAAATCCAACCCCCATAACCAGTCCACCAGCAGCCAATGTGATACTGCAGAGTTGTTTTGAGAATGCTGAGGTGCTGGGTAGATAACAAGTCACCCTCAGGGCATGATGGTCTTGGAACCAGGCTGGAACTGATTGGGAAGGAGCCTGCTTCATTTTTGAAACAATTGCACTCCCTAATTCGATGTCAGTCCTGCAGAAAGAAATATAATAAACAGGGAGAGAAAGAAAACTATGAAATGAAGAGAAACATTATTTAGGTTTATCAGGGTATTTGTTATGAAAATGCTTAACAAATCTGGGAGCTCTAACATGGCGGTGATTTACCCACTCATTCTGAGCTTTAGAGAAATCCTTCCACACTACTAAATATTGGAACTCTCCCCTATTCCTACGGGAAGCCAAAATCTCTTGGACTTCAAAGTGTTGCTCTCCCTCAACCATTAGTAGCTTGGGAGGTGGTGGAAGGCTTGGCCTAAGGGAGGAAATAAGCTTAAGTTTTAATAAACTACAATGGAACACAGGATAGACCCGTTGAAGGGACTTTGGCAAATCCAACTGTACAATCACAGGATTTATAATACATTTGATGGGAAACTTGAGTCCTAATTTCTTTGAAGGCTGTAGAGATAATAGATAGCGGGTAGAGAGATAAACATAATCACCAGTGTTGAATGGTTTGGGTTCCATTCATTTCTTGTTGGCCTGAGTTTTGTAAGCCCCCTGAGCATCTGCAAGGGCTTTCCTCATGTTTGGACATGTATTTTATAATTGGGAGACTCATTATTTTAATAATGGCACCAGAGGGTCATTTAGAGGTAGTTTGGGCATGAGTTTAAATTCTTGACCAGTAGCCACCTTGAAAGGGATGAATCCTGTGCTACTATGTACAGAATTGTTATATGCCACTTCTGAAAAAGTCAACAAGTCAGTCCAATCATTTTGCTGATAATTAATAAAGCATCTGAGGTACTGTTCCAATACTGAGATTGCTAGTTCACACACCCCATTTATTTGGGGATGGTACTGGAACTAAGCCCCTGATCAGTCCCAAGTGGGTTAAGGAAGTTAAGGCCCACCAAAACTTAGAAATGAATTGCACCCCTCTGTCTGAAATGATGCATTGGGGTGCCCCATGCAGTAGGTAAATATGATTTAAAATAACTTGGGTAGCTCCTGCCCCAATGGAATTTTCTAGCATGGGACAAATTCACGACCCATATAATGGTATTTTCTGAGCTTTCAGGGAGTTCCACAATGAAATCCATGGAGATCTTTCTCCAGGATGCTGTTGGCTCAGCCATGAACTGAAGGAGTCCAGGGATTTTCCCTTGACATTGTTTGGCTGAGGCAGAAACAGGGCAACTTGCTATATAACTTTCAATGTTCTTTTTGAGGAACGGTCACCAAAACTGTCTTTTTACCAGGTGTAAAGTTTTTACAAAACCAAATTGTCTCACCACTTTGGAATTGTGGCTTTCCCCCAAAACCATCAACCTTTGACTTCCAGTACATAGACCTTACCCCTACCCAAGCCAGCCCATCTTGGATTGAACAGATGTCCACATGACTTTGAAATCACTTGTCTTCATCCAATGCGGTTTTAAGGGCTGTAGTCACTTTGCTGTCTATTGGACACCTCTCTTTTGCCTGTGCTTGGGTGGTCACTTGGCTGGCTAACTGGTGGGATGGGAGCACTGGTTTGACTATTTCCACTTCAGGGCAATTTTATTGAGGCATACATAATTGCGCATCAACTAGAAAAAAATTTCCCCCTGGGAGGTAACATAATGTGAAGTTGAAACAGTTAAAGTATTGCACCCATCACAGTTGCTTTGGAGATAATTTTCATAGGGTTTTTAATGCCTCCAGATTTTTATGATCAGTCCATACTTCAAAAGGTACTTTGCTTCCTTTTAGGAAGTATCTCAAAGACAAGAGTGCCCAACATACTGCGCAAGCCTCCTTTTCCCACATGGCCCACCTTCATTCAGTTTTTGATAGTTTTCTAGAGGTGTAAGCGCACATTTGCAGCTTACTCTTGTTTTTCTGTAACAGCACAACCCCCACAGCTACATTGCTAGCATCTGCTTTAGAACTGGTTTAGTTGCAAACAATCATTTGAGCTTCTTGAATGCTGCTTGGCATTCCATCATCCATTTTAGAGGTTGACCAGGCTTGGGTTTGTTCCCCCCGGTCATTAACAGATTTATAATGGGGAGGGTGATTTGGGCAATGATGGGATGAATTGACAGTAAAAGCTAGGGAAACCCAGGAAATTTTGCAGTTGCTTCTGGTTCAGGGTGGAACCCACTCCAATACCGCTTTGACCTTCTGAGTGTCCATTTCAATTCCCTCACAAGAAATGTGATAGCCTAAGTAATCTATTTTGTTTTGTGGAATTCGCATTTAGAGAATTTGACGTAAAATTTGGCAGCTCATAGTTTCTGAAGGACAGCCCTCATCAATTTCACGTGCTCAGCTTTTGTTTCAGTACAAATCAAAATGTCATCCCAGTACACTAGCACCCTCTTGCACAAGTGTTCATATAGAACCTCATTAATTGCATGAACACAGCAGGGACACCCTGTAATCCAAAGGGAAGGACTTTGAATTGGAACAGTCCAGTGGGCAATTGAAAGCATTTTCCATTCGCCCCCCTCCCTGATCCTCACATGGTAGTAGGCTTCCCATAACTCCAGTTTAGTGAATATCTTGCTCTTAGCCAAATGGGTTAACATGTCCTTCATTAGGGGCAAGGGGTAGACATTTCCCCCCCACAGCATTAAGTCCCCTATAGTCCACACATAGATGAAGTGTCCCATCTTTCTTTTCTTGGAAAAAAACAGGAACTGCTACCCGTAGTCACACTGGCTGGCTGAAACTTTGGGCAAGATTCTTGTCAATAAACAGCCACAGTTCCTCCAGCCCCAGTTGCCATTCATGTCATTGGCTGCCATGACTGTGCTGGGTGAGGGCCCCCTTTTTTTTCTCCCTTCCCAGTTATCTTTCCTGTCGACACCTATGGACCACCTGGTCTCAATGAGTGTCCCAGACTGGCAACCTCCTCCGTCCACTTGGAGAGGTCCCACCCTGGGGGAACCCTGGATGAGACTTCCCCCAGCACTCAGCTTCATCCTGGTTCCTGCCTTGGGCTGATATAATTTGCACAGTTCCCATGATAGACTGGCACCTCTCTGGGTTGCCCAAGCTTGCAGATTCTGCCTAATGTAAGGACCTGCCCCAGCTAGTCCCTCAGGAAAGTAAAATGCTTGACTCCATTGAGGTTAATCAAAAGAACTTTTACTGAGAGAAACTGGATGCAGAAATTCAGGTGGAATCTGAAGGTCCCATACAAAGCATAAAAGCAATTCTTTTACTTCCCCAAATCCAATCCCCCTAACCAATCCACCAGCAGCCAATGCTACAGATGCTACAGAGTTGTTTTGAGAATGCTGAGGTGCTGGATAGCTAGCAGGTCACCATCAGGGCACAACAGCCTTGGAATCAGGCTGGAACCAGCTGGGAAGAAGTTTGCTTCATCTCCGAAGACAATCCCCTCCCTAATTCCCAAGTGGTTACAGTCAAAGCAAAAGCATGCAAAGAATGCTAGCAGCCTTCTTCCCCCTACCTTTCAAGGCTCATAGACACACACACACACACACACACACACACACACACACACAGAGGGGGGAGGGAGGGAGGGAGAAACAGACAGACAGAAGAGAAAGAGACTTAAAGACTTAAATCACAACTGATCACTCATGCTGCAGCAAAATGCAGGCACTTCTGAAGAAGCAAGGCTTTGTTGGAAATGAATTTTCCCATCTGCAGGAAAACTTAAAGCTGTAGATATATTTTTTTAAAATACAAATACAATATAAAGCATATGGGAATGAATATAAAAGCCTAGTGTTTAGTTTGATTCAGAACTGAAAATCCTCTATGCATATCCTTGTCTGAAATACATCTAAGCAAAGGACTTCTTGATTTAGATTCCCATGAGAATTCAACCCCTTAGACTTCTAAATATGCTCACTGTCCGATAATAATCAAGGCAATATTCTCCACATGTATCTAAAGGGCCTTTTTTTAAAAAATCTACAGATTTCTTCATTTTGCCACTGTCTCCTGTAGGGGCGGGCCAATGAATCACATTGATGACATACAATACTTGCATTCTTGACTTGTGTGTTTCTCTCCCTCCCCCTCCCCCCTTCATTGTGGAGTCAGAGATATCATGGTCTATGTCTGTGTTCTTCCCAACTCCATCTTCTCCCCAAACCTGTCAAGCCAGCTGCCCTTCTTACAAAAACCTGTCTGGTTATCTAAAACCTGCAGATCTTGATGTCATGGTTTTCTGAGAATGGAAAAGAAAGCTGACAGCTTAGAAATGAGTCAAGAAGGTACAACCTTTTCAATAAGTGCTTTTGATCATTTAAAAAAAGCAAGGCTGGCTCAATACTTTAGTAATGCCTATGGCAAAAAATTCTAACAAGCAACACATCTCCACCATGGCAGCCAACTGTTGATCACATGGTAATAGTGCATCCTTTCTCTCTAAAACCATCCAGGGACTAATTCGCACAAAGGTTTTTTGGGGGAGGGGTGATTAATTATTTCTATATTTATATTGTACACATATCTACATCACACATATACTTTTTAAAAATGTGTAAGAGAAATGAAAGGAACAATTTGAGAGGACCAAGAAAGGAATATACAGCTGTGGTTTCACATAGCACTTTAAAACTAATATGCTATCAGCTAGCTAATTTCAGGCTATGCCGTTCTGAAATAGTGCAGTTTTGTGTGAGACAAACTCAGACAGTAAGAACTGATCTATGGTTCAGTTAATAATGAGTAAGCTTTTTTTGTGTATACATATCTTATAAGTATGGCTGGGAATTTTACACCCTCCATTTTTCTCTATATGATGAATTGGTGATGATACCACAAATTGTATAGGAGCTGAACTGCCCTTAACCTGATTAAGTATCCTGTGAGAGCTTTAAATAATTTAAACAGATAACATTGGTTTTCAGTGGGTGATTGAGGGTTCAGCCAGGAAGAAAATCTGTAGATTGTACACATGCTGGCTTCTAACATGCAAATAATGGAGGTTATTCATAGTGCTCTGAACCATAGATGATATAATGCCTTATGATGCTATTACTACATTCAAAGGTGCCA